CTGTTGTCTGTAAATGGTCTGATAATCTTTTGGTACACACAGAGACCACCAGCCCTTCTGAAGCAGGTCATTGGGGTCGTTGAGATGTGAGTCATGGACGTGGGAGAGAGGACGGAGGGTGTTGCTGATGACTTCTTTCAAGGTAAGGTGAGTCGAGACGATAATGATAGCATTGTGAGTAGTAGGCGGGTGCTTTGGTGTGGTTTGCTCCTACTTTATTGTAACACCTTTAATCTTCTGGTGCTCATGTGACCTTATGCAGTTGCGAGCGCCGTAAAACCTCTACTAAAACTAAACTAAATGATAGCATTTCGCTAGGAACAGGTAACGAAAACGACAGACTTTAGACAAAAGTAGAAGTAGCAGACCACACTAAGCGCAAAGTTTGATCAATATTACATCAACAAATTTAAATGTAAATCAAAATAATTTTATTACAAGTCAAATAGTACAAATTTTTTTGCAGTTCAGAGCCTAGTAGTAGAATCCTAACTTTACATAGCTGTTCCATTATTCGGCGATCTTGGGTTAAGCAGTATGTCCAGTTTCAAACGTATTATATTCTGTAGTGCTTTCGGCTTTAAAAAATAATAATAATACTTTATGGAGCTACTTTTGTTGGCGGTTGAGTATATTCGCGTGTAGATGGCTCACACCATCTTTGCTTTCGTTCGAGAATCTCTTCGAGTGCAGATGGTGCACAGAATCTCTTTTAGCGGCTTATTCCACCCCGAGAAGTTCAGTGAGGTGGCGTCGGTAGCCTAGCGGTCAGTCTACCGAATTCGTAATCGTGAGATTGCTGGTTCGGGGGTTTGAGCCTCAGCTCAGTCAGACGTTTTGTCCTTGGGAAAGGCACTTTACCCGAAATTCCCATTTGGCTCAGTCCTTTCGGAGATGGACATTAAACTCGGAGGCCCCGCCTCTTAAATAACCTAATATTGTTGATAGAGGCGTTAAACCCATACCATTTCACCATTTTCAAACTCAATGAGCCTTCTGTACTTGTCATTACTCTGTGGTGAGAACCCCACCGGAAAGCAGACTTGTGAGGAGTGAGGACTGTAGTAGAATAAGGTTGGCAGACATAGTCATTTAATTCTGACCGGCGTCTGTAATGTAGCGGTCGGGCGCTTCACTGTCGAACGTAGAAGACCTGAGTTCGATTCCCAGTGTGGGGAGAATTTTTATCGAGTATCTCCGTCTTTCTGCTGGTTAGTTGTATCCCTTGAAGTTGAAGCCTCCTTCTTAAAGCTCGTCTCCTTTATGACCTAAATTGTGTCAATAGGAGCGTAAAACGCCTACATTAAAAAGAAACATTTATTCTGAATTTTGAATTTCGTCTTAATTAAGTCCACTTCCGAATGGAAAGAGTCAGGTTGATGGAAACGCATGAGCTTTTGTTGTGTCTTCTATGACCTATGGCTTATCGTGACACATTTTACCACATTGTACATCATTCTGTAATACTGGGTGCTCATTGCGGATGGGATCGGGTCGGATCATGTCGATCTGCCAGCTCGTCGCCTGAAAACGAACGCGTTTGTTTTTTTTATACCGGTTACCCATTGCGGATGGGATAAGGTCGCGTCGGGTCGGGTAGAAATGATCGCCCGATTTGTCGCCTGAAATCAAACGCGTTTGTTTTAGAAGCAACGAGTCGGGCGCGATCGGCTTGCGCCACGATGGCAGCATAGCGCCCTCAATGTGGCTAGCAAACAGATCCGACCCGACCCGATCGTGTCAATGGGCACCCGGTATCACACATACTCTTGACCAGCGCTTGCCAACCTGGCAGATATCGTCCACTCGTAGGCGAACTGGTAATTTTGGTGGGCGAACTGGTGATTTTGGTGGGCGGTGGGTGGGGACAATGTTTCTTAATGCCCCTCTCTGAAATACATATTGGTGGGCGTAATGAAAACGTTAGCCTCGTAAAAGTGGCAAAAGCGGGTGCTAGTTCAACAAAGGTTAACAAGTCTCCTCATGATCATAAAGAATGACAATGAAGATTTCACGTTATGAATTTGTGCAGGCCTCAATGCACGTAAAGATAAAGACATAGGCTTGCCCTGCTGTCAAATATCCCTGCCAACTCTCAAGTGCCTGCGTCTGTGATGCAGCAGTTGGGCACTTTGCTGTCGCACGTAGATGACCTGAGTTTGATTCCCACGTTGGAAGAATTTCAACTAATATCTCTGTCTTTCTGTTGGGCTGTTATATTCCTCTCAATCTGGGTTAGCACTGACATCTAGGGTCGAAGCCCACTTCCTAACCTCTTAATGGATCTATACTGTGTCGATGGGTACGTAAAAACATCTAGAATCTACACTTTGAAAAAAACAATTATTAACGTACACAGAAAAATGTTAACAGTTAACATGTAATGAGTCTGTGGGAAAAGACCAAATGTTAAGTCTTGTAGACTCATCGATCACTATATAACCGATCGACTGTTGGTCTATTATTTTCTGTTCGTAAAATGTGTGATCATAATTTAACAACTGCGTTATAAGAAATGAAGGGATTTCAGATTATGTATCCATCTCCACCAGCAAAATAGTTTTGTCTTTTTTTTGTCCCATGGAAATCGCATACATCATACACAAGTTGGAAAAAAATTGTAATCTGTTTCAACATTGGTCAAGTTATAATGTTAGGTGAACGGCGATTAGAGTGCGGATAACACAACAGCTTAGCGATAGAGCCTTTAATTTTTTACCGACTGGCACATTGTAGTCGCCACTAATGTGCGAGATCCTTGCTTCTCCAAAAGTTTCAGACAGTCATAAGTTATGTATCGGCTATAACTTTCTCTTCAGCCTTCATCTACTTTACTTCTGTCTGCGTGTGTGCGCGCGCGTATGTGTATGTGTATGTGTATGTGTGTGTGTGTGTGTGTGTGTGTGTGTGTGTGTGTGTGTGTGTGTGTGTGTGTTTGTGTGTGTTTGTGTGTCTTTTTTTCTCTCTCTCTATCTTCCTCTCTCACTCGCGCGCGCACGCACACACACACACACACACACACACACACACACACACACACACACACACACACACACACACACACACACACACACACACACACACACACACACACATACACACACACACACACACATACACACACACACACACAAACATACACACTCTCTCTCACTCTCTCTCTCACTCTCTCTCTCTTTCTCTCTCTCTCTCTTCTCTCTCTCTCTCTTCTCTCTCTCTCTCTCTCTCTCTCTCTCTCTCTCTCTCTCTCTCTCTCTCTCTCTCTCTCTCTCTCTCTCTCTCTCTCTGCTCGTTCAACCCGTTGCGAACTACACAATTTTACTACTTCCTTGTTTCCGATGTAGCGATGTATAATTTCGTATCGTAGACACGATACCCTTTTCTACAATATTATGCTGTCAAACGTGCCCCTACTCTGCTTCAAAGTACCATACTGTCGTTATCCTGGACTACGTGCTGGCGTCATCCGCCTGCATTCTCTACAACTGGATCGATCTCATAATATGTGAGGCAGCGTGGTGGACTCAGGCTCTGGTAATAAAAATCAAAGTGAAGAAACTGGCATTTATCTGCAGGTTTCTGAATATTTATCAATTCTTTGTTTTTTTTGTTGAAGACCTTTCATGCCCATTGAAGAACACATTTCTGTGTGGATTTTACTGAAAAACGTTATTTAAAGGTGCAAAAAATGAAAATTTTCAGTTACCCTGGACTCTTAAGCTAAGGAAATGACTAATCTTCGGGGGCAATTTTCTCACTAATTTTACCTCTGAAACCAGGTGACCCCCACCTCCTTCATTCGCAAATATTTCGACTTGCATTCAAGATAAATGGACATTTTTTTCATCCCTATACAGACAGAGGAAGAAGGTTTAAGATGATGCAATAACTCTGCATGCCCAAAAACTGACGAGAGCCTGGTTCCACCACGTCGCGTCACATAATGTGTGTCTCTTGGTCATTCCATTTCACGGCAGAATGTCGTTTCCACACCATTTAAACAATTGAACCTATAATTTTTTCTGCACGAATGGCAACGGTTATCATTACGATTCCCGGGCGAAATTGAACGGCGTTGCGAGATCCCCTGATTCTTTACTGATCGGAAGTTGCTCGTTTGACTGAAGGATAAATGTGGCTGTTGCAGTTAATAATACAGATCTAGCAATTCATTAATTTATGAAGAATTCAGTGGTAAACGATGTTAGTCATATTTATTTTTGTCTCAATGTGGTAATGATCTACAGTTTGGCTAGTTCCATTTGTTATCAGAAACAGTGTAGTCACGTATTAGAGACATTTAAAAATAGTTTTAGATGGAAAGAATGGAAGTGGGCAATATGAACTCGAGAAAGAAAGGCATTATGCTATCCTAAAATTACAACGTTCTATCTGCTCAGTGCCTAGTTTTGAGGAATTTGACATCAAACAGTTTGAGTTTCACAGTGTGATAAGTCTTTTTGAAAGCTATTCTTTGAGTATTTTGATGACAACTCAGAATAATCTTACGGTTTTAATAGAGCAGATAGGCAGATAGAGCATTTGATTTCTGATCTCAAGGTCTTAGCAACTCAAAAATGTCAGATAAAACTTTGTAATTATGACGTAGCGAGCAGTCTTCAATACTTTTCATCTAACTAATGCTGTTTGCGGGTGGTTGGTGGTTGCTCTAGAGTGGTTTGTTCCTTCCTTCCTGTCAAACTTCTATCGTCCCTATCTCTCCTCCTTCCCCGTGTTTGTTACTCTCTTCTAACACCTCTAATCTTCAGCACTTATACGACCTGATTGTGTTGCAAGAGCCGTCGAATTCTTAATAAAATAAACACATACTAGTAATGACGTTTTTACTCTGAGGTCGCTATTTGAAAGTTATTACTCTAATGCATACTCCAGCACAATCGCACTGTAATTCACAACTGTACTCAGAGACCCTTCTCCGATGTTTAACTACATGATTCTCCTCTTGAATCGTAACATTCTTTTTTGGGGGTTCAAACCAGGGTGGTCCATGCCGCAGTCCAGCAAGACATCCTCTAAGTTACAGGTGCTAAACTCAAGGCCCGCAGGCCGCATCAAGCCAGTCGAGCAATTACAGCTGGCCCGCGACGGGTATTTAGGTTGTCCATCCCGAAAATCTCCAAAATATAGAATCTTATTCGAAACATTAACGGACTTGTTCATCCAGTGCCAGATCTCCGGCAGACATCAGCGATCATAGTTCTCCTTTCATTCCTGATTTATTACCCTGAGAAAAAAATGCCGAACATCTCACTCTGACAAATTGGCATATGAGTATGAGTGAAATTGATACACTTTGATATGTTATCACGTTAACGTCTATTTTAATTCATATTGTAGTTTATTGGGGGGTTTTTAGCATTTAGTTTTCCCGTTCGGCCCACAACCTCAAGTGCTATTGAGTTAGAGTTTGACACCTCTGCTCTAAATCAAATAAAAAGCCATACAGATAGCAGATGCAAATGAGTGCAATACAGAAGTTGAATTAATTTAAGTGCTCTGTAAGACAGACCAGTTCAAGTTCACTTTAGTTCAAATTTCTAAATTGCTATTTTCCTGTGAGTTCTTCTTCTTCTTCTTCTTCTTCTTCTTCTTCTTCTTCTTCTTCTTCTTCTTCTTCTTCTTCTTCTTCTTCTTCTTCTTCTTCTTCTTCTTCTTCTTT